TGGGCATACCCCCGGATACACGGGCATGGTCTCGATCTTCCGATCATGTGCTGGCAGACGTGCCCTTCAGCCAGAACTCGACCGGTCGCCGCCGCAAGGGAGTTAGACTCAAGTGGGCTCGCCTTGTCGGGCAGCACAGCGTCGTACGTATACCTGCACCATCCTGCAACTACAAAGCCTCCCCAGCGTGCTAACGCTTTCTCCTCAAAGGGAAACATTACTCGGTACATCAAAGCCTACATATACTACAATGGCGAATGCGTCCCCATCAATAACGATGACCTTCTGCTGGTCGGCGACCTGGGCACCGAGGATAAGTCCATCTACTTTGCTATCCGCCATACTATACAGATGAAGTTTATCACCGAGGTCATCCGCAAGACCGACTTTCCCTACCATCAGCTCGACACCAAGAGATGGGCTTGCCGCTCCTTCTCTGACTTGACTTTGCCCGCCCCGCTCGTCAGGGACATGTCCTTGTTCCAGCAGAAGGATGCGCTCCTTGTCCTCGTAGTAGACGAGGGGCAGGCGCCCGATCCACGGGTCCTCGAGGCTTACAAAGGTGCGCCATTGCAATGGCACTTTAACGAGTTCTCCTTGTCCTCGTTTGACTTCAGCAGCTTTGTACGTACGACGTTGATATCGTTTGGCACGTCCTAACCAGTTCGACCAGGATTAAACTCGACTGAGAAGCATCGCGCAGACGTAGTCAGTCGTCTATTTGGAGCAGCTCCAGACACCGCCATAGGACATGGCAGGATAGCAGCCGCTGCAAGGCCCGCCTACAACGGCCGCCATAGTCCGCTTGGAATCTGTTTAATGGCGGCGCGTGTACAAGCCCCCCATGGCAAGGGTCGCAGCGCCGAAGTCAGTACATATTAGCTTAGTGTTTTCTGGCTCGGACACGCACGATGCGGTTCAAGCCGCGAAAACCATTATGGGTTACAACGTGCCTGGTAATCAAGGATTGAAGTCGTTACTAGACGACCCATGCATCGCCTGAAGCACAAAGTTCTCGGGCATCAAGCCGAGCCCTGCCGGGTCTCAGGCGGCTCTGGTGGCACGCCCAGGAGAGCATTGTTCAGCAGGCCCGGCTTGGTTACCAGATATCCAGCCTTATTTCTCTTCAGATAGCCACCAAATCAAGATCAATCGATCAGACCCGCAGCAGGATCATGCCTGACTGCCAAGCAATTCTGTCCTCTAGGTGGTACATGAAATGATGGCTGAGTAGATATACCGAGCATTGGGAGCCGTGCCGCACTATTCGCCTCGCTGCACCAGATGGAGAGAAGATGTATATCGAGGAGCGAATCACGACAATACGCCATGAATTGCATTGCATCCTTTGGGGCGGGGGCGGGGGCATCATCAAGGGCCATTCCCAGAGTGTGGTGTCGAGTTCACATAGCCCCCTGTGTTCATTGTGTTGTCTCTTTTCTCGGGAGACATCCATGTTGGATGATGCACGGCGTCATCCAACACATCTGCCACGCCCAGTGCCCATTGGTCGGTTGCAGGGCTGGGGCTGCTTGGTGCGGGCAAGACACCCTGGGCCGAAGCAAGAGAGCACTGGCACACAACCTCGATGGGTATGAAGCTCGCCATCACGGCGTGAGGCGCCCCCAAAAAAATCTCGGCGCGACAAACAATGATAGGCCGGTCCTACCACCCCCCCCCCCCCCCCCCCAACCTGGGTGTGTGTCTGGCCACGCGTGCAGCTGTGCTTCCCTACCCAGGCCCCTCTCCATCTTGCCTTTATGAGCTTGGCGCTTTCTTTAGCCAGCCATGTTTGCATGTTGCAAGATGACTGCAGCATGGTCTACCGTCAATCGAGACGTTGGGGCTTACCGATCCCATGCGGCTCTAGGCCTGTTTGTGCTTTGCATGCATTGCGCCAACTGGCTTGCTGCTGCAGCAGCTCGTATTGGCGGCCTAGAGGCTGACGAGGAAGACAAGGAGCAACAAGCATGCACAGCAATACACACCCTCGAGCCTGTCGCTTATCCCCAACGCTACATATGCTACGTCCATTTGCACAATCAACCAAATCAAGCTTTGCGCACAAGTAACGAATGGGGCTCGGAGTTGGGACCCTGGACCTTGCAGCCGGCTGGCAAGCTGGCTTCTAGCATTCTCGCACAGTGGCTTGCAGGGCTTCCAAGCCAGAGCAAGTCTGTTCGCAGTCAAGTGACGTCCCAATGCTACCATCTCTGATGATCTGCACCAAAGTTGCAGCAAACTACGCAGCCGAGGCGATGGATAGAATTGGGATTGTGGTGCTGATCGTCCTGCCTCTTTCCCGTCTCGTTCCGATCCAATCTTCATTGAAACAGACGAGCCCAACAATCGGCATCTTGTGCAAGACGTAAGATTCTCCCTGTGTGCATTGCATACATCAGCTCTGTGGGCCAAAACGCCGCGCGCACGCAGTGACCTCGATAAGACTCGTCACACGCGAGGGGGGGGGGGGGGGGGGGCGGTTTTGAGGCCGCCCCATCTCCAATCAGAGCTGGAAGAAGCTCAGAGAATAAAGAGAAGTCATAAGTCATGGTTCACGGATTTGCTAGCCCAGATAGCTGGCAGATGGTTGGTCAACTGTGCCAGGCCTTCCCCTCCCCCACGGCTGCCTGTAATTAGTATATACGTAGATGGCGATATGCCGGACCCCTTGCGGGCTCTAGTAGGGAACATGGATGTCCGAGCTGAAATAAACCCCCTCCCTCATTGGACAGACTACATATGTCTTTAAAACACACCATTTCCATTACCCCTTGCCATCCTATCAGATGGCGGTAGATGTGGGCAGCGGCGCATTGGCATTGGGTCCCCCCACGAATACGACGCACACTCGACATGAGGCCAGTGTGCTGCACAAGGATATGCGCTCCTCGTTATTCCCGCCTCCCGCATAATTCCTCTCGCTCTGGCACCTTGCAGCTGCAGCTGCAGCTCATTATGCAGGAGGCGTGCGGTTCAGTCCAGGGATGGCGGAAGGGCCGTTGCCTGCCGGAGAAGAAGAGGTCCTGAACAGTGTCGGCATCGCTGCATTCCGGACATGGCGGTGAGGTGTTCGCCGGCAGTGACGCCACAAATTTCGAATGGGCTGTCGTGTCTCGATGCTACTGGTGGGCAAAGCATCCCAGAAAAGAGATGTATCAGTTTGTGTGTATACTGGAGAGCGCACGCCACCTCCAGGAGAATGGCAACGTTTCACATGTTGAGAAGGCTCTCGTTGGGTTGGGGCAGGCGGGGTGAGGTGACTTCTGCAGAGGTACCAACATGGATACAAGAGGGACAACGCATAAAATCTCGAGACAAATGTTATGCTCCGAGTTCGGGATTGTAGGTGGCGGGTTGCACTGTGTCGTGCGTTCAATTTTGCCTGATGTGGGTGGACAGGGAAGCGATAAGAGCCAAGTATAATGCTGCGAGTTATTGCCGCTCTCAGTTGCTTCTTCTGTTGTTCATTTTCTTGACTTGTTATGAATACAGTATTTGCGGCGAAGTATAGTTCGTACCGACATCACGTCCTTTGCAGGATATCAACGGGCAAGACGTCCTCGTTAAAAGCATGCCTACTCAGGTAGCTATTCAGACGAAAGAGATTGTCCCGGGGACATATGGTTTCAGTTATGGCGTGATGAGTTGCCAAGGCATGCAAGTTGGAGGCATATTCTCTCTTATATATGGATCCTGGCAGAATACTGGGATAACATATCACCTATTGAAAGAGCTGCCACCAGCTGCTACGTACTCATGTTGGGTCTCCGACGATCTGTGCTGCTCTGACGGATATTAATCAACACCACAAGATCGGAGTCTTCCATACAAGACGGTCGATTGATCCCATAGACTTGTGGATATGATTAACGTTGTGTATTTGTAAACATTTGTACCCAGATGGATATTATGTAGCTCTTATTTCTTGAAGTCGAGTCGGTGAGATCTGTTAACCCCTATCATAGAAGAATGACTTGATACACGATTTAAATCAGTCTTGTGTGCTCATATGGAGGACGACGAATGTGAGTTTGAAGTGATGTTCGAAGTGCACAAGAGCTAATGGATTTTGGAGCTCGCCCAACATCATATCACCCGCTTTTGGAACAGAAAATCAATGGTCTCAGTGTTGTCGCCCTCACGATGCTTCAGTTAACTCTGGACTCCTTCACGACCAATGGTGCAAGGCACGCTGCTTCTCTCCATAGGCCAACCCATACACAGCCGCCAATGTACCTTCGGTATACCATGCATCCGGAAAGAGAAGCATACCTATTCTGGAAAACACTCGCAGTATGAGCAATAAGCCTTCGACACCAGCAAAGACCGGGCCACGCGTAAGACGACGTTAGCTGGGCCATGTTCTTCCAGGCAGACATCCGAAGTTGTTTCTAAGCCGGAGTCCTATATTAGACAGATTAAAGCAAACGAACCTAGAACTTCCTCTTAAGTTGCTACTTGCTTCGTCCATCGCCATTGAGGTCGTCATCGAACGAGGTCTTGGTCGGTGGCCCTCTCACCGGGTCAATCATGCGAAGCATCGTCGCGTACAACACGAAGCGTCCAAGGTCTGTTTCGTTGAGATGAGTTGGTCGGCGCACAGTTACAGAGGAAGCATTTACGAAACGAAAGAAGTGGGCTGCTTCCTTCGGCCTTGAACCGGTGATCGGCTCGGGTCCCGCAGGCCTTGCGGGTGCTCCACGGCCGGTCGATGTTCTGGCCGGACCTAGTGAATGGGTAGCCGGCGGGTCAGGAAAGGCTCTTCTCCCTTTCCAGAATGAACCGTAAGCGCCCCTGGATCAGCGCTGGGTACCTACCTTGCCTCCGCCGCCCGGCCATCTACTAGTAGTGCAATCGAAGGCGTCTGGCAAGGTGAGTGGTTTGTCGCATCATTTCTTTGTTGTAAAATACAAAAAGCGGTACAGTAACTCAGGACGGCACACATCAACGAATGGCAAAAAATGATTGAAAAGCCACAAAAAATTATCTTATGCAGATGCGTCGTACGGGAATCGAACCCGTTTCACTCGCTTGGAAGGCGAGTATCATAACCATTAGACCAACGACGCGCTGTTTGATGAATTGCGTTTCTTTGTTACAATACATAAACCTCATACTCATATGCCCTAGTAACCCAACACAAACACACCACCCTGCAGAGAAGAAAAGTAAGAGAAAGAACCTAGGTTGCATAGGAATGCACCCAATGATTGTACGAGAAGCAAAGAGCAAGATAGCCGATTGGGATGCCTAAGCAATGTCATAAATCGAAAAATTCAGACAGACCACACCAAGCAGGCGGTCGAGATGCCGTTCAATCGAGAAGCCGCTGGTCGACATGAACCGTCCCATGAGGCTCCACAGGCTGCGACACTTCCGTGTACCTGGTGCCAGCATTATCGAGAATCGTAAAGGTGGAGGTCTACGACTAGAAACGACTTCGTTGGGCGTTCGTTGGTACCATTCGATTGCAATGATGAAGATGAGGAGCCTCAACTACAAACCTACTGTTATTCCACCCTTCAAACTAAAGAGTCCTGGGGCATTTCCCGACCAGGGCTATGGGTCTAGGAAAGAGTTCGCAAGGAATCAAAGGAACCGTTCGCAAGGGCGCGCCCAATCGAGGTAGTGGCTGTCGTAGGAACAGAGAAACATACAATTTTGTCCCGGCTCATGCTGTCATCCTTGCTGAATTATGGGACGCATCTTCTGGTTAAGTTCATGGTTTACAGAAAGCGAACATCAAGTACGAAGTTACAGCGATGATATTCATTATTGCCCTTTGAATGTCTCTGACATATTTAGTTATCCTAGTCATACAGGAAATTCAGAGTCCCATATTAGCTGCAGCTCCTCAAGAACAGCCTGCCCTTCTACGAGGCTCTTCAGATCAATGCAATCTTCCTCTGTATCTTCGGCTATTGAGGACGTGGTTTGCTTGATCGAGTCCATGGCCTTAGCACAATCTACCTGCTACTGCGGTTGCTCAGACAGCCCAACGTCAGCAATCACATATGTGGGCACAGACTCGTTGATCCAGATCAGGGTGCATGATATATTGATCTTTGGTCCACCGGCAGGATTGCTGACCCGCCTTGTTCTGGGGAGGCTGGGCCTTGTTTGGCGCCTTCAAGCTTTAAGAGCTCAACCAAGGAACACAGTTCATAATGACGGGGATGGTGTTCATAAAGAGGCATGTGAAAAAAAGCTGGACCATGGTCAGACGAGAATTCTAGGCAGAAATGATTACTTACATGGACAGCTTGGAGAAAATAGATTCGCCGGTGAGATCTCTGGCTGGACTTGTGCATTCTACAAGCTCTAGAGAGGCCAGAATTGTAGTATTGTGCCGGTATAGGTGCGCGCCACGCGGTTTGGTGCGCGCCATTGCGTCTTTCACAGTGGTACCAGATTGGGTTTCCCAAAGACCCAAGAACTCTTTACCATAAGGATGGTTGTGAATAGAGAGAACTATCCATGCTAGTGGTAGAGTAGGATATACCGGCGGATCTAGAACACCCGTCTGTCATGAGGTGTAATTTATAACTGCGGGCTCAATGAACTTGCCGTTCTCGTCCATGGAGATGACGTCCATTGGCCTCGGCCGGACTTGGCTCCTCGACATCCAAGGCATCCTTTCTCCCCGTCTTCCCCCGTATCCAGGCCCGCAGTCTATAGTGAGCTCCGAGAAGCCCGATCCCTATCCAGAGAATGAGCTCGGTAGCATAGACCACCATTCCAACCACGTCGATTCTTTCGGCAAATAGCAGGGCCAGGATAGAGAACAAATCACCGCCAGCGTCAATGGCCACGAAGAGAAACGAGATTCCCTGCACAGATCTGGACTGATATATCTCCCAGTAGTACCTCATCACGCCCACCGCGAGCAACACAGCAGCGAGAACTGCCATGACAGTCATAGGCCACTCGACCCCCCTGTTCCACGCCTCGCGCAGGCCGAAATAGAGCCCGGCCTCGACGCCTCCAATGCAGGCCCCGACCGCCGCACCGTACGCGAGTATGCGAGCGACCCCCCATCCGTCTCCGTAGTACTTGCATTGCGCCCAAGCGACAAGACTCAGGAATATCAAGATGTGTGCTTGCACCTGGAGGGCGATGTTGAGGTTCTGGACGACGTTGTAGGTTCCAAGGGGTATGCCGGCCAGGGCCCACGATATGTACATCTGAGGGTGCAGGCCTTGGGTGCTGTGCAAGCGGTAGTTTTTGAATATTTGCGGCAGTAGCTAGCAACACGCCTCTTTAGCACTCGGGTTCAAGAGGGTATGAATCGAGGACGTCGAACCTGTATCGACCAGCACACTGCTCCCGCAGTGCCTAAGATGTTCGCCGCAACGGGGCTGTCCATGGCTGGTGATTAGACAATTTCCAAAAATCTATGCTCGGCCGACTCATTGGGCTTGTATGTCGGAATGGACTACGCGTGGCCCATCATTGTAAAGTCCCTCTTGGGAGTGAGGTTGAGGTTCAATGGACCTAGTGAGGGAAGATTACAACATGCTGAGTGGAGACACGACAACAGAGCCAATTGGAGACTACCTGAGAGGACCGGAGCAATATGGGCTGGGGCCTTCGTCCTGCCTTCGGGGCATCTCGATGGGCAGAAGCACTCCAACAGGCTGTTGCACTGGGAGCGGCTTCAAGACACTCATGAGGAACATCGAAGAAGAATAAAATGTATGTTTTAAAAAGCATATTATGAATCCTTTACTTGAATAAAAAATAAAATAATAAAATAAGGTAAGATAAAATAAAATAAAATAAAATAATAGCAGAGAAAGAGGGAAGCTCCTCTATTGGGCTGGTGCTGGCCCAGTCTCTGGAGCATTTCCCACAAATGTGTCGCTGTTGGGGATAACAGATGGGGATGTTTGACAACTGCCAAGCGACAACCTGTGACCTGGACACGACCAATTATTCCACACGCGTGTGCTCTGCAGAGATGAATTCAGCTGTGATGGCGTTAGGCTAGGAATTTGGCCACAACTATCTTACCTTATGCCATGCATAGCATACCAGCATCCTGGAGGAAAAGTGCGCAGTAATGCAAAACAAGCACCCAGCACAGGCCTCAACCATCTTGATGGAGGCGAGATCATCCATGGTGTTGGCGCAGATCCCCCAGCATCCATCAGACTAGCCGTCGGGTGAGGGCCAAGGATTGGGCAACTCTGTTCGAGACACTGCTGGGCTAGCGCTTTTTGGCGAGACACCAGTGACACTGACACCAGCATGTGGCAGTTGTTCGAGTTCAGCTTAGGGGGGTGTGCTCGGAGTCCACGAGCTTATGGCCTCGAGGGCAAAGCCACGCAAGACAAGAATGCAACACCAAGTCTCAGGCGCGGGCGCCCATCCATGGTGACCCATGAGGCTAACTCAAAAGGCGGCCGCGCCTGGCTAGGCGTGCAAGTGTGTCCGTGCCTCGGTGTCTCAAACGCACGATCGAATGGGAGAGCGGCGGAAGCAATGGGGCGCGCCGACTAGTGGCGCCCGATCTTGGCGGTGATGCTAGAGCAAAGGGACGGAGGCGTAAACGTTGTGTGAAGGTGAGCAACTCACGGTATACTGTATACTGCTACATAATAGCAGAGTCACGCGGAAGTGATGCCCAAGGTACGTGTGCGTACGCAGAGCTGGGGGTCATTGTTTGGCGGCATTGGCCCGGAAATGACGACAGGACGCGCAAATGCTGGCGCTTGACGCTGGCTGCCTCGAGATTCTGACAGCCGTGCAGGATGCAAGAGGGCGGAATGGACCGCGAAGTCGCACACACATTTGTGCATTTGCGCATTTGGCAAGCAGAGGAGCAGGGCGGGAGTCGTCATCAAACAGCCAGGGCGGCGCACGGTTCCTGGGCTTGCAGATCTCGTTCAGGAGGAGCTCGATGCGAATGCGATCGATCTTGGCGGCATCACTCGATGCGTATAGGGATACACTAGAGCAGCCAGCATGTCTGTCAAGGCTGGCTCGTCGCCTTAAGGAGAAACAGTGTGAGTCGGCCACGGTCCAATTTGGGGCACAAGTCGCCTCTAGAGCGGCGTCTAAAAGAGATGGCGCCATGGCAACTTGTTTCCTCTCCCTGCTTGTCACCTGTACCATGTAGGCATTTACAGGTCCAGAGGCTATCGACGAGTGTCAGTGATTGTACAATATGCGAGTGCTGGGTGTCGCCAACAAATCACTTACTTTGCCAGCTGGTCCCCCGTGATCAGATGCTGGTCACAACCACCATAACACGTCGTCTACTCACCCACCACCCACCTATCTGGCTACCAGGGCACGAGGGAGGGGGCTCAGCCTGTTAGTGGTGTGTGGGGAAGCGTGGGCAAGATAGACTAGACAGCCAGAATACCGTAGTCGTCGTGGTGGCGGATCACAATGGGGCCGGCTAGCAGGGTAGTATGGAGACATGGTGCCAGTTGGCGTTCATCAGAGGTGGTGACTGGCCAAGAGGGCGGGTAGACGGCCAGGCGTGTTAGGGGGTTTGATGATGCAGCGTTTTGTCGTGGCCGGACATTTGCGCCGACCTACTTCTCCTGCTCTCGTCTTCGTTGCCCCAAGGATGATCGTCTCCCGACGCATCTTTTCCCGCCAAGCATACAAGGGGGGGTTGTAAGCGAGAAGGGGGGAAAGCAAAGAAAGAAAAGAAAAAAAAGAAAGAGATGGGAGAGACGGTCGGTTCAAGAACAAGGCGGGCATCAGGCAACCGGGGCCAGACGACAAACGATGACGAGGGGCGCCATCCTTATCTCTTGCAGCTTTTGTAATTTTCATCCCACCTTGATCTTCAAAGCCAATTCATCCCCATGCATGCCTTGCATGCCTTGTAATACTCCTCCAGGAGGCGGAAGGCCAGGCGCGACGGCTGCCTTATTAGGTTCCCGAGTCCTTCAAGTCAACCGGCACCTCCTTCCCTATTTACTTTGCCTACCTTACCTTATCCTTACCACACCATCCTTGGGGGTCTCGACTGACTGACTGGGTGACCTGTCGCCTGGATATTTGCGACTCTTGTTTCTCACATTTTCTGGCTTTCTTTCTCTCTCCTCTC